GGAGGGCGGTGGGGTGGGGGCGCAGGGACGCTCCCTGCAGGGGTCTTGGAGAGCGCCCCCACCTTCTCTGGGGTGCCTGACACTCACCCGCGGCCGGTGCCCACAGCCACAGTGCCCCCAGCGCAGCCATGTTTCAGTCGGGTCAGGTGACAGGTCCCACGCGGAGCTTGCAAGGCGGGAGGCGGGGCTGACGATGCACAGCGGCCGCTCCTATTGGCCAATGGAAGGGAAGATGCAAATAAGGCGCCATATTTGTTTGGGTCACGTGACACCGCCTCCAGGAACTAGGGAAAGCTCGGAGGCCGGGAGGGAGCGCCTCGGGTGCCTGGCCGAAGAACATTCCTTTTAGTTTTGACAATTCCCCTGCGCTCCGCCTTCCGTTCTGCGTTCGGCGGCGGAGCGGGTGGCCGAAACAGCGGTCTTCCTTGATTCTGTTCTTCCGCCCTCTTTTCTCCCTAGCGTTTGAAGGCAGCGTTTACTGAGCTTCAATCAGTGCTTTGCCCGGCCTTTGGGGGCGGGGGAGGGGGAGGGTTACCCAGAGCAAGACTTGAATCCCCCTTCATTTTTATTCTGCATACTTGGGCCCTTTTATAATCCCAGAACCCTACGTTCTGCATTCCCATTTTCTTCTGTTTAACTCTATTCATTTATTTGCTCATTTACTCGACCGCCCTTAACTGAGCGGCGTGCTACGCTTTCGAAAATGAACAAGTTGTGGTGGTCCCTGTCCTCAAGGAGCTCAGTTTAGTCGAGTCAGGTGACAGGTCGAGGGGCGCAGGTCAATAATAAAAAATAAAGTGGTCTACAGTATAATATAGAGTAAGGTGACCAGACATCCCGCTTTTGACGGGACAGTTCCGATTTTTAACAATTTGTCCCGCGTCCCGCGGCGTTTTAAAATCGGGACTTTTTTTTTTTTTTTTTTTTTAAACGCTGTGGGACGCGGCTGGTGCAGTTTTATTTAGCATTGCCCAAACTATAAATCACTACCAAAGGGTGATGTAAAAAGCAAGCCAAAACAAACCAAAAGCTTCTTCCACAACCTCTCCTGTGTAGATGGATTTCCAGAAAACTAACCTAGTCTCAGACCCATTAAGCACTTTTTCAATGTAGTGACAAAATAAATAAGACACTTCAAGCAAGGTTTGTTCTGGTTTCATACACTTTTTGCTTATGTTCCCCAACCGCATTTTGATAGTCATTAGACTGAGAAACTGACGTTTATTTCAGAGTGTGAAAACTACAACTCCCGGCAAGCCGCGGAGCCGACCTGGCTCTGCCTGCCTCTGATTGGATATTTCCCACGACGACGACCCAATCAGCGCTTAGGTTGTTGCTTTGCAGCATTTTCCGCGGGGAACTGAGTGATGGGTGGGGGAAACTTTGAAAGTTGGATGCTACAGACCCGGTACTGGAAAGTCTCATCTTGGGGGCAGTTGTGGGGAATTGGGGTGTGCGCGTTATTTTCTGCTCCCTCTCTGGGCCTGTGGTATTCATTGTTGGGGTAGCGGAGAATCTTTCTTGGGTGCAGGGCACGCCCCCTTAAGTCCATAGGAATCTTAACATGAATCCTGTCGCGGATCTGGGAGCTTCTTTTGCAAGTTTGCAAGGAAGCTGGGCCTTGTTGAAACTGTTCTTTTTTTTAGGGGATTCTGCCGTGTTGTTTTTGCCTCTTAATGCCCACCCCCCCCTTTTTACTTCCGGGCAGTTTGGGGGTCTAGACAGGAGAGCCCGTGTTTGGGGGAAGTTTAGGGCCTGCCCGTCTTCAGGGAGATAATAGCGTGGAATCCGGAGTCAGATCCCTGGATTCGAATGCGGACTCCATCATATGCTAGCTGTTACAGACTGTGGAAGTTTTCAACTCAGTGCCTCCTTGTCTTTAATCTGTAAACTGGGGTAAAACATCCGAAGCGCTTGGAACAGTGTAGTGGGCGTAATAAGGGCTCAATAAATATTAGCTATTGTTACTTCACAGTTTTCATTGAACATCTAACAGGAGGCGTTTTCTTTCAATGAGGAGGAGAGGATTCAATCACCAGGGTTGACTCTTCCATTCCCACTCACATGGGCGTATGCACACACATACAGAGCAGGTGGAAGAATCAGTCTTTGGTGGAAGAATCAAACTTATAAGCCGTAATAATACGTTAATTATCGGGCAAATATATGTACAAAGATGAGAACATTGGAGAAGAAGAGGCTGAGTTTGGTTAAAGCTTTGTGGAGGCAAGTCAGGGAGGCAGGATGGCTATGATTGCCTAACCTACCAATACACTGGTGGCTGGAGAGCAGGTCATGTGAGGCAGCAAATGATGTTTTGCTAAACAAACTGATAATGATGATTAACCTGGAGCCTTATGTGAAATCCTTCAACCTTCATTTCATTCCTATGGAGTAGATATTTGAATTACCCTCGTTTTACAGATGGGTAAACTAAAACAGTGAGAGGTGAAGTAACTGCCAGGAAGGTCAGAATTTGGGCCTTGCAATCTGATGTAGTAATGAGAAGGAAAGGAGAAATCAATTTATGAAGCGTCTTAATCCTGAGGAACTTACCCTGAAGGCTTTCCATGGGCAGTTTTAAAGGATGAGAGTGACAGGATTGGAGCAACTTTCTAGGAAGCTACCTTGCACACAGTTTGATGTGCCTCCCTGTCCACAGCACATTTAAATACCAATGGCAATATTTATTGCATGACTAGTTATTTTTGTATACATTTCTTTTCAACTTTTACTGTGAGTTGCTGAAGGGGAGGGAATATGATTCTTGTATCCCAGAACTTAGCAGAGTGTGTGTTTAAAAAGTGCCTGTGGTCCTGGTGTGTGGCTTAGTTGGTTGGAGCGGGATTCAATCCTGGTTGGAGTGTGTGTGTGTGTGTGTGTGTGTGTGTGTGTGTTTTGGAGAGGGAGGATGGATGTTTCTCTCTGCCTCTCTCTATAGAAATCAGTAGACATATCCTTGGATGAGGGTTAAAAAATGAAGTAAAATAAAATAAAGAGTGTCTGTAAGAGAGGCAAATGAATGGATTTTGCATATATGTGTGAGGCAGTGAGTGACTAGAAGCAGCATGCAATAGTCCAGGTAACTGATGGGAGTGGCCTGAATAAAGGCAGAGGTAACAGAAGTGGTCATTGTTTTTTTTTTTTTTTTTTTTTTTTTTTTTTTTTTTTTTTTTTGTGTGTGTGTGTGTGTGTGTGTGTGTGTGTGTGTGTTTTAATATATTTTTTAAATGATTTCAGAGAGGAAGGAAGAAGAAGAAGAGAGATAGAAACATCAATGATGAGAGAGAATCATTGATCGGCTGCCTCCTGCAAGGGGATTGAGCCTGCAACCCAGGCATGTGCCCTTGACAGGAATCAAACCTGGGACCCTTCAGGCTATAGGCCAATGCTCTATCCACTGAGCAAAGCCTGCTAGGGCTGTGTGTGTGTGTTTAAGATTTTAAACTAACTTTTAGAGAGGAAGAGAGAGAGAGAGAGAGAGAGAGAGAGAGAGAGAGAGAGAGAGAGAGAGAGAGAGAACATTGATGAGATAGTAAACATTGATGGATTGCTTCCTGCACACCCTCTACCAGGGATCGAGCCTGAAACCCAGGCCTGTGCCATGACCAGAAATTGAACCAGCAACCCTTCAGTACAACACAGGATCCTCAACCGAGCCACACTGGCCAGGACTGGAGCTGGCCATTGTTAAAGTCCAGGTAGTTTGGGGTTTACTGCTCTCCTTTTTTTTATTGAATGTATCCATCAAATTGGTGCCCTTTTGCAGAACTACCTGATCTGTAAAGACACTAGGCAATGACATAGCACATGTCACTTAGTAAAATTTTTTCTGCGGAAAGAGAAATGAGTACTGACAAGTTCCCACTAAGAGAATCGTGAGGGATGTATTCTGTGTTTGTGGGAAGGATATGAAAGAGAGAGAGAGATTTAATCTGATATGCAGAGATGATCTGATTCCGAGAATTTGGATAGAAATTTGGGTCATGGTATTGAAAATAAATACCCATATTCTCAGTATATATTTTTGTTTGAAAACTTTACTTTTCTGATAATTATACTGCTTTATCCCCTGGAACAATGAAGAGTTCCTGTTCTATTCTAACCAGAGAGTTTTTTGCCATCTCACTGAGGTACACAGCTTTCCTTTGCATACATTACTAAGGGAATCACAGTGATTCTGTTCTAGCACCTAGCATATGGGAGTGTGATCAGTTAGTCTAGTAAGTGGGAATGTGGGAAGCTAGTATACTGAACAGTAATTCAGCTTGTAAATACTGGCAACACCTGGGATAATAAAATCTCATTTGATTCAGACTCATAGAAAAAGAAGTTAAATATGATCATGGACTTGCAGTAGAGTACAAGATTAGCAGGATAGACCTCAGAGTCAGACTTCCTGGATTTGAAGTTGGGAACCATCATTTACTGTTTCTGGTGATAATAGAATAGCTAAACATTCTAGGTTTTTGTTTTCTCATATGCAAAAGTGGGGTCCATAACCTTTCTTACAGGGCTGTTGAGAAGGTTAAATGTGCTACTTTATAGCAGCCGTGCCTGGCATAGTAGGCACTCAATAAATTTATTATTGTTACAACTCAATGAAAGTAAAGACTTTCTAGGAGAGGTTTCAAACTATGTCTGGAAGGTTATTTATACATGTAAATTAATAAATGCATTGAAAATCTCAAGATGCTTTACAAATGTCAAGTGGCATTATTATATTCATGTAGTAACTATCAAAGAATGGTGTGAACGGTATATTTTTATCTTGCCTTGTTTCTCTGTGTACTAGTATATGCTTCTCTGTGTGTATGTGTGCCTTCCTTTATTTTATCAGTAATATTTTAAATACTGTACATTTCGCTATGCACATGGAAACATTTGAAGAATTTTTTTATTGTGTAAAGTGTTTTAGAAAGTAACCATCTATTATTGCTTATGCTATTTTCTGATGCTTTTTCAAGGTGTGTTTTCCCCACTCCCCCACATATGGAATCATGGGTAGCAAGAAACTGAGACGAGTGGGTTTATCACAAGAGCTATGTGACCGTCTGAACAGACACCAGATTGTTACCTGTCAGGTAAAATTTATTTAATTTTTTTTTCCAATGAGAAACATCAAGTACAAATTAATTTTAAGTATACCTTAATAACTCTTGTAAGTAAATCTGAAATGTAAAAACTTAGGCTTGTAGAATAAAAAGGATTATTGATGCTGTTTCTCTATAGACTAATTTTAAATGATGAGGCTATACTTCCAAGTATGATTTAGGCTATACTTCCAAGTATGATTTCATTTATCTAGATTTAATATTTTTACATTTTGGGAAGAAGGATGCTCATGGGATAAAGTGAAGTACACAAGTGCCTTTATTTGGGGTTCAAGAGAAGTTTCACCTACTTAAAAAAATCTTGTAATTACATGAGAAATATGACTCAAATGAGGAAATGGTATTCAAAATGGGTAATTCCTCTTAAAAGCAAGAGAAATTAATAGTTAGGATCATTTTCCTATTGATGGAATGAGAAAATGTATAGAGAAGATGTTGCAATTTTAAGCTCAACAGTGAAGCAAATCTCTTTTGGGTTAAGTGTGATTTAAGGTTTTAGATTATGATTTAATCCTTTATAAGTCAGACTTTCAGAATATGTTGTAATTTTTTTTCTTGTTGTAAAAGATATTTCTTTGTGTGTTAAAGGTCTTTTTGGTTCTTCTGTTATACATTTAATAGTCTTCGTATTCATATTTTGAAACACCCTTAAAAGTATGAAATTTAACATTTCATACCATAGTCAGATTAGCTCTCTGTCAATTATCAAACACTTCCTCTGAATAATCTCATGTAGTTTAAGAAGAAACACATTTCCACCTGACACTTTCTGGATATTTGTGCCCAAACTTTTCAGGTACTAGTGCAGTGTTCAAACACAGATGGGTTGGATGCTGCTGTTTTGTGATGTTACTAGGTGAGTCCTTTGGCATATGCCAACTAAATAGAATAATTACAAGTTAAGACTATCATATGTTTTAGTTCAGGCATATTTTGAAGGGCAAGTACTATAAGGAGCACATAAATCTTTGATCTGCAATAAATTTTACTTTTATCTACACATGGATAGTAGCACTTGGATTTTTCCTTTTGATTCCACTATCTTTGTTTCATATATGTTTAAAATATTTTTCTTTATGTCTCTTTAGGACTTTAAAAAAATCTTTATTTTTTAAAGTATTATATATGTCTGCCTTTTTCTTTAGGACTTTTTATGTCTTTCCCCATTGGAGCTTATGAAGATCACTGGCCTTAGTTATCGAGGTGTCCATGAACTTCTGCATGTGGTCAGCAAGGCCTGTGCCCCACGGATGCAAACGGTATATTATATTTTAAAATTATGATTTGGTTACTATTTTTATTTTGATATTATTCTTCATCTTATTTGGGGTGTGGCAGAAACAAAAATAGAGATGAGTACCTAAAAAATATTGACTCTTACACGAGAGTTAGTTTTATAATGAGAACATATCGGTATGTGAAAATTTATGTAGTTTATAGGCTCATGGAAGATAGTTCCTAACTATGGGAATGAGACAAAACAAAGTTTTTTTTCTTTGGAGCTAAAAGTGATATTTCAAATGGTCATCTTTCTCTTGTTTGTTTGGGTAGGATTTGTGGTCCTCTTGGTTAAATGTTAATATACTTCTAATTATAGCTTCCCCTATCTTTATACTGCTTTTACCATCATCACTTACTGTAAATCATAGGGTATACATATTAGGTTTGCATTGCTTCTTAGTTGAATAAATAATACTTAAAAACTTATCCTCACTCTTGAGAAGAGTAAAAGTCTTTTATAACATCAGGTTGTACTATTTTTTCACATTTTCTGTCACATGACTTAGCTTTTCAAATTGTAAGTTTATGCATGGTAGAGAAGATATTGTTTTTCCAGAATAAGAGTTGCCTAAAAGTCTGTTTAGTGATTTCAAAATGTATTTATTTATGTGGGTTATAAATTACTTATTTTACTCTCTCATGTTGAAATTTGGTAGCCACTCAGCAATAAAGTAGATTTCAATTCTGCAAATTAGGTAGTATCATTTGAGACTTGTGAAACAATGGACGGATAAAGTAGTTTCTTTTGTTCAGCTTTAGCTTGTGATCTGAGGAAAATATTTTAAAGGCAGAGCAGGAAGAAGGAGAATTAGAATCGCAGTTGGGGTTTGGCACTACTACCGTGTTTCTCTGAAAATAAGACATCCTCCGAAAATAAGACCTAGCGCATGGTAAGATAAGACATCCCCTGAAAATAAGACCTAGCGCAACTTTGGGAGAAAAAATTAATATAAGACACTGTCTTATTTTCGGGGAAACAGGGTATTAGCTTTGCCAGTGATCTCTAGCTTTGGACAGCTCACTTTGAGGAGAGAAGTTAGAGTTAAAATAATGAGATGGTTTTGTGACTAGATTCAGAATAACCTGCTATTATTTCAAAGGTTGTAAAACACCAGGAAAACCTTTTAATTTAAAAAAATATATATTTTATTGATTTTTTACAGAGAGGAAGGGAGAGAGATAGAGAGTTAGAAATGTCGATGAGAGAGAAACATCGGCCAGCTGCCTCTTGCGCACCCCCTACTAGGGATATGCCCGCAACCAACATACATGCCCTTGACTGGAATCGAACCTGGGACCTTTCAGTTCGCAGACTGATGCTCTACCACTGAGCCAAATCGGATTCGGCAAAACCTTTTAATTTGATATTTTAAATTGTATGTAGTCAATATCTATGGCCTATTTCTACTTAAGTAATAAGAGAGCATGGGTAAGAAATCCACTTTAGACTCCATTTACATCGTAACTTCATTTCCATTCCGATAACATTCCAAATGCCAATTCAGGAACTCATCTTTCCCTTTTGCTATACATTCACTCTTGTAGCATTCTTTAGATTTGAGTCCTGCCTAAACATTGGTTTAGCCTTAGTTCATTCCTTCAGTAAATATTTTTTTTGCCTATTTATTCAGTCATTTATTCTTTCCACCAATATTTATTGAGTCCAGCCATGTGTCAGGTACTTTGTCAGGTACTGGGGATGTTGTAGTGAGCAAGACTGATAAAGTTCCTGCCTTCCCGTAGCTTACAGTCTAGTGGGAGAAGTCAGACAATAACAAATAATTACATAAATACTTAGTTAATTGTAGTAAGTCCTGAGAAGAAGAAGTTCAAGGAGTCTTGAAACTTAATAACAGGAGACATTACTTAATTTAGGGAAGGGCTCCCACAAGAAGCAACACTGAGGCCAAAACCTGAAGGATGAATGGGAGAGAGATAAGCAAAGGAGTTGGGAAGGGAGGTGAGAGGGGAGGACTTCCCAGGCAGTGGGTCCAGCCTGTGAAGGAAGCAGAATGGTGCTTGCATGTTCATAAAATCGAACTGGTGTGAATGGAACGCAACACTGAGGAAGAGAATGGCAGGAGATGAAGTCAAGGAGTAAGCAGGAGTCAGATCGTTAGGGTCTGCAGACAATGGTAAGGATTTTGGACTTTATTCTGGGAACATTGAGAAGCTATAACAGGGTGTAATCTAATGTATTTTTAGAGACTCAGTTTTGAACATAGGTGATTGAAAAGGAGCAAGATATATTTGTGACTAGTTAGGTATCTATTAACATATTCCAGAAAGAAAGTGATTGTGGCCTGGGTTATTAGTGTGGTATTAATGCAGATGGTCTAATGTTAATTAATAAGAGAGAGACTGAGGAGGTGGAATGCATAGGATTTGGTCATTGTCTTTGGATAGTGTTGAGTACAGGAAAGTGTCAGATGATTCCTTGAGTTTTGCTTTGAGAAACGGGGTGGTACCCTTTTCCGAGATAAGGGATACTGGGAGAGGGTCAGGTTTGAGGAAGGCAGATCATGAATTCAGTTTAGGGCTTGTTGAAATTAAGGTGCCTGTGAAACTTTTGAGTGGAGATGTGAAGTAGGCAGTTAAATGGAGGTTGGGGCAAAGGTAGGTTTCCAATTGTTCATATAGAAAATAAAACAATAATTAATAATCATATAAGAATAAGCTTTATTTTTAATGTACTCACAACTGTAAAGCTACTCTTGCCCCAACCTGTATATGGACATGGAGCTTGGAAGAAAGGTCTGCACTAGAAAGATGCATTTGGGAGTCCAGTGTAAATATGGTAGTCAAAGCCATGGGAATGGATCAGCAATTCCCTGGGAAGTTTTTGTAGTTAGAAGGTTAAGTATACCCAAGTCCTGACAAAGACCAAGTCCTGATGGAAGCCAACATTTATTTATTTGTTATTATTTTTTAAAAGTATTTTTATTGATTTCAGAGAGGAAGGGAGAGAAAGAGAGCGATAGGAACATCCATGATGAGAGAGAATCGTTGCTCGGCTGCCTCCTGCACACTCCACACTGGGGATCAAGCCCGCAACCCAGGCATGTGCCCTGATTGGGAACCGAACCGTGACCTCCTGGTTTATAGGTCGACATGCAACCACTGAGCCTTGCTGGCTGGGCGGGTGAAGCCAACCTTTAAAGATGAGCTTAGACAATAATGAGTCTGAGAGGAAGCAAGTATCAAAGAAGAAGAAAAGCTGGCGGGATGTCCTATCACTGTATTACTCTGTCTCATTTAGTCACATACTGTTATTTCTGGAGTTTTGGTCTTTTAGTTTATTTTATTCTCTCTCTCTCTCTCTCTCTCTTTTTTGTTTTGTTTTAAATGAGAGTTACAAATCTATTATTCTAATAATTACACTTGTAATTGCAAGTGAAGCACTTTAATGCTGACAGAGGGGGCTGCCTTTGCATATTTGACAAAGTGTCCCCACCCATGTTGCCTGGTATGGATTGTGGGTAATATTCATGCATTTTTAAATCAGATGCAAGTCATACAACTTTGACAGTAGTTTTTCTAATTATTTTATGTGCCTGTATATAGCCTTAAAAAATCTGTGGTAATCCATGGTTTAACTGAAATAAGAATTCAATAGTTAAGTTAGAGAAGAGTGGTCACATTTATGGCTCATAAATATTAGTATGTTGGTCTTCCTACATCCTCACAGGGGCAGAAGAGCCTTGGATTTGAGACATTGATTTATTAAATTGTAAACTTTAAGTGGGTAGACTTTGTATATTTGGTTTACCATGTATTTCGAGAGCTAATCACAGTATATGGCATCAGTAGGCCCTCTAATTTATTGAATGAATGTATTTTTATGGTTTCATTTCATTCATAAAAATGAAAAATTTAATGGTAGAGATTGCAAGAGGCAAGCATACTCATACGTGACTAGTGGGCAGGTAATCACGTTAATCACATCTGCAAAGGTTCTTTTTCCAAATAAGGTGGCGTTCCCAGGTTCCAAGGATTGGATGTGGATATTTCTCAGCCTACCACACCTGGCTTTTAGCCACTCCTCACAAACCAATGACGGCTTGATTATGTCATTCTGTTGCTCTCAGCATAAACTCTAAACAAGGCTCTTTATGATTTGGCCCCTACTTATTTCTCCAGCCTCATTGCCTTTCATACCACAGCCACACACCATCTTTCAGCTGTTCTAAATGAAGTCTTTATTTTTTGTAGTTTTTGTTGGTTTCCATGTCCTCCTTTTATTGCTTAAAAAAAAAAAATATATATATATATATTAATTATTGATTTTTTACAGAGAAGAAGGGAGAGGGATAGAGAGTTAGAAACATCAATGAGAGAGAATCATCGATCAGCTGCCTCTTGTACACCCCCTACTAGGGATGTGCCTGCAACCAAGGTACACGCCCTTGACCGGAATTGAACCCGGGACCTTTCAGTCTACAGGCCAACGCTCTATCCACTGAGCCAAACCGGTTTCGGCTTTTATTGCTTCTTGACCGTTTTTTGTACATTTTTCTCTCTGGCAGGAAATGCACACTTCCTTTACTTGTCCAACAGCTTTTCAGATTTTAGCTTAGTCCGGCTCTTCCAGGAAGTCTTCCTGGATTATACAATCCAGGTCAGGTGTACTGTCTTTATGCCTTCACTTTCCCTTTCACAATATTTCTTATTAATTGTATAGAAATTATCCAGTTTCTAGTCCTGATGGTTGACTATAAGTACTGTGAAGGCAGGGGCTGTCTGTTAAATCATATCCATGTCATCTAGTCAGTTCCTGGCAAAGAGTAAATCTTTGTCAAACAAACAAATAATAGAGGATAAAAAGATGGAATTGGCATTCTAACTTATTCAGTTTGAGATTTGGAGTTCGTTTATGTTTTTGAGTAGATATGGAGGTTGAAAAGAACTTAATCTTTTTCTTGTTCAGGCTTTTGAGATAAAGGCACGGAGGTCTACTGCTGTCTCGCCAGCATTCTTACCTACAACTCTTTCTGCTTTGGACGAAGCCCTGCATGGCGGTGTAGCTTGCGGATCCCTCTCAGAGGTAAAGGAGACATTTCCCTTTGATACACAGTTATAAACTTATTTAAACTTATTTTAATAACTATTACTCTCAGCAGGAAAAAAAAAAAAAACTTAGTTAAAAAAACACATTCTTCCTTGAATATTAATCTGAATTAAATTATAAACACCCGGGATATGGTTTTCTACTCAGTGTCTAGTATAGTTGCTCTGCAACAAGATGTTAAAAAAAAAATCCTTGCTCTGCTTTGGTTGCTGTTTGTTTGAATTAACTTGGAAAGAGTTGAATATTATGAAATAATATTAAACAATTTGGAGGAATTAAAAAAGAATCACTAACTTAGTGTATTAGGAAAGAAAATTTGAAATTTTACTGACGTGGGAAAATTACAGTGTTGCACTGAAATGAGCTATATTTATTTCCTGCTGAGGATAAAATTTGGTTGCAGGAAGTGATAGATCTTAGTTATATACTGTTGCATAACAAATTACCTCAAAACAACAAAGAGCACTTACTGGTTTTGTTTCTTTGGGAATGGCTTAGCTTGGTGACCTTGGCGAGGAACGCAGCATCTGGAGGCTTGGTGGGGCTGGCGGCAGTTTCCACGGGGACTCACTCAGGACTGGGTAGTTGGTGCTGGTGTTGACAGCAGGTCTGGGTTCCTTCCCAGGCTGCTTGAGCCTTCTCATGACATGAGGGCTGATTTGAGGGCAACAGGATGGATGATCCAAAAGAAGGCAAGATGCAAGTGGCCATGCCTTTGAGGACTTGACTGTGGCAGTTACACATCATTACTTCTGCCACATTGTCTTCGTTGGAAGTGAGTCAGCAAGTCCAGCCCAAGTTCAGGGAAAGGGAAATTAGGCTCTACCTTTGAAGGAAGAAGTGTCGGGAAAGGATCTGAAGACATTTAAAAACCCGTTCTTTTCCTTGAAAACTGCATTGGTTTGCCCACTGGTCCCGATGTGGTGGATTGATAGACTATGTTTACCAATACACTCCTGAGGGACTTTTTACCTGAGAGTTCCAGGGGTGTAGATACTTTAAGCAGACTTCTAAAGAGGACACTTACATGCCGATAGCCATACATCTAACTGTAATTTTTTCCCCCTTAAAGATCTAAAATCCTGTTTTAGATACAAAACTATATCTTATTTCCTGTCTTCCAGAAAGAATTAAAAAAAGGTGTGTACTATGCCTAGATAGTTGGTAAATGAATGAGTGAAGTAACGTTTAAAAAAAAATAAAATTAGAACTTGCTGTTGCAGAGTACCGCCACCAGATGGTGCCAGAATTCTATTTTAAATAACTTTTTTTGTGATTTAGTTGGATTTTTGCTTGAAAAAGTTTAGAACAATAGTGATCCACAGTTATAAACTTATTTAAATAACAAAAAGTTGATGTAAGGCAGATTAGCCAATAACTACTTCATGTTTCTTAAGTTTTAGAATAATTTTCAATACATTTCACTCAGTTTTTATCAATTCTTTCTGAAGCTGTATATATATTTTAATTGATTTTTTACAGAGAGGAAGGGAAAGGGATAGAGAGTTAGAAACATCGATGAGAGAGAAACATCCATCAGCTGCCTCCTGCATACCCCCCACTGGGATGTGCCCGCAACCAAGGTACGTGCCCTTGTCCGGAACCAAACCCGGGACCCCTCAGTCCGCAGGCTGACGCTCTATCCACTGAGCCAAACCGGTTTCGGCTCAAGCTATTTTTTTTTTTTAATATATTTTATTGATTTTACACAGAGAGGAATTGAGAGGGACAGAGTGTTAGAAACGTCAATGAGAGAGAAACATCGACCAGCTGCCTCTTGCACACCCCCCACTGGGGATGTGTCCGCAACCAAGGCACATGCCCTTGACCGGAATCGAACCTGGGACCTTTCAGTCCGCAGGCCGATGCTCTATCCATTGAGCCAAACCGGTCTCGGCTCAAGCTATTTTTAAGTGTTGATTTTTTTCATAATCTGCTGAGATGAATTGGAATAGAAATCTCTGACAATTAGTGGCAAATCCTCTAATTTTTGTCTGAGCCAAAGGCAGCTCCTTCCATCTTCTTGGGAGTTCTCAGCTGAATCTAGAAGTATTTCTGTTTAATTTTTATTAAAAAACAAAATATTTATTTTATGTATACAGATTTAAGTATATCCTGCTTTTGTAAGTTGTGAGCTCCTGGAGCCCATGAGCTAATATTAGGTCTAGTAATAATTAATGTCGTTTTCTAATACCTTTTTTTAAATCGAATTTATTTAAACAATACAACAAAATTTAATCAACAATATAGTTGCCGTTGTTTTCTGCTACTTGTGCCCAACGCTCAGGAAGCATTTTAATCCCTCTGTTGTAAAATTCTTGTGATTTTGATGCAAAAAATTCGGTCAATGCATTTTTGAGGCATTCTTCATTATTAAATTTTTTTCCAAGAAGAAAGTTTTGCAAAGAACGAAACAAATGGTAATCGGAAGGGGCGATATCAGGAGAATATGCAGGTTGAGGGAGAACTTCCCATTCCAACTGGCGCAGTTTTTCAGCAGTGATTCTTGCAGTATGCGGTCGTGCGTTATCGTGGTGAAGAATTACGCCCTTCCGATTAATCAGCGCGGGTTCTTTTTCTCTTAAAGCTTGGGCTAACCTTTCCAATTGGGCACTATACACTGCACTTGTAATGGTTTGGTTAGATAGTAAAAGTTCATAATGAAGAATTCCTTTAAAATTCCACCAAACACACATCATTACTTTTTTCGCATGCAAGTCAGGTTTTGGCGTGGGCTGCGGAGCCTCATTTTTGTCCAACCATTGAGGCCGCCTTTTCAAATTAACATACAGCTCCCATTTTTCATCTCCGGTAACAATTTGCTCTAAAAACGGCAAACGGTTTTGACGAGAGAGGAGCGAACTGCCAATTGTGACTCTTTGATTACGGTTGTTGTCGGTCAACTCATGAGGAACCCATTTTCCAAACTTTTGGACTTTGCCAAGTGCACGCAATTGATTGGAAATTGTTTCTTGTGAACAATTTAAAGTTGTCGCAAGCTCTTGTTGGGTAATTTGAGGATTTTGCACCAAAAGAGCTTGAAGAGCTTCTCTATCAAAATTGGACACACGGCCTCGACCACTCTTGTCATCTAACGAAAAATTTCCCTCGCGAAATTTCTCAAACCAACGCTGGCATTTTCTGGCGCTAACTGCATCTTGACCAAGAGCACTACAGATGTTTTTTGCAGCCTCACTTGCTTTTCTTCCTAATTGGAACTCGTAAAGCATGCAGTGCCAAATATGCTCTTCATCCGCCATCTTCTTAGCCCTAGTTTTGCAACAAAAACCAAACCAAACACAAACTTTTTCAAGCAAAACTTGTTAATTGCACTTCACACGTTCTGTAGATACCACGTGTTTGAAGGTTATGTCAATACAAGTCAACGCCAAGCAAGATTTTAAACAAATGTTAAAAACGACATTAATTAGTACTAGACCCGACATAAGAAGCAGAACAACACCCAAACCATTGAAACTAGCTGTGGACTCCTCCCTGATCTTTGGCCTTCTGTTGGGAGGTAACCTCCATCCTGAATTTCTGCCATTTTCTACCCCCCCCTGCAGTTTCCTTTACCTTTACTACCTATATACATTAGAGATACAACATTTTACTTAGTTTTGCTGATTTTTGAGCTCTATGAAGTCATATATCTGTGGTTAAATCATATTGTATCTCTCCTCTCTGCTTCTTTAACTTAGTATTGTTCGCTAAGATTTATCCATGTTGTTGCAGGTAGCAAGAGTATAATTCACTGCTGTATCACATACCATTTTGAAAATATGCTACAATTCACTTATTCCTTCTCTTGTGAGGGAACATTTGGATTGCTTCCCGTTTGCTCCTAATGTAAACAAGTTCTGTGAACCTTGCACATATCTCCTGGATCACACGTACAGATATTTCTTTGGCGAACTACTTACTGCCCAGTGGTCAGATCTGGCTCACTGCCCGTTTTTGTAAATAAAGGTTTATTGGAACATAGCTATACTCATTTGTTTACATTTTGTCTGTGGCTATAAGGCAGAGTTGAGTTAGTTGTGACAGAGACCTCATGGTCTACAAAGCCTAAAATGTTCCTGTTTGGCCACTATCTAGGGTATCTACTAGGTGAACCAGTTAATAATAGCGGATTTTTGTAATCAAAGAAAACACAATAATTTCAAGAGAAATTTCTCAAACCAACGCTGGCATTTTCTGGTGCTAACTGCATCTTGACCAAGAGCACTACAGATGTTTTTTGCAGCCTCACTTGCTTTTGAATAAAAGTGCATTATTCAAAGTGCTTAATAAAGCATCAAAAGTGCTTTATTCAAAGTAATGTCCATTGCTAGCTACACATTTCCCCGTCTTTCAGGTAATTTGTGGATACCATCCCAATAGAACTTTTGTTTTGAGGCAAACCATTTAGAGACCCAATTTTCCATTACTTTGCACGACATGTATCTTTATCCAATGATGCTTGTAATTGTTTGTCTTCAAACTTTTTTGGTTGACCTGGACGTTCTTTGTCTTTCACATCAAAATCATCACTTTTAAAGCATTTAAACCAGCGTTCACAAGTATCTTGAGATGGAGCATGTTCACCATAAGCTTCCTGAAGTATATGATAACTTTCAGCAGCACTTTTCTTTAAAATGAATTAAAACTTCCCGCAAATGCTCTTTTTTTGGTATGAAATTCGACATTTTTTAAGTGTAAAAATATCAATGATGTTTTTTGACATGTGAAGTTTTGAAGCTTGCTGTCAATACAACAAAATAGCATACATATCAAATTGCATATATATCAACATATGTGTAACTCCATCCATTGAAAAAAATCCTCATTATTAACCGGTTCAGTTAGTTTATAGTGCTTGTTTACTATAATCCTTGTTTTCTGCTGCCTCTCTTATACTTTCCCCTTTGATCTTTGAGTAACCTAAACTTTAGGAACTTCTAATATTATTGCTATTGCAGGGTATAGTATTTATA